ACATCTGGATAATTACACATTGGTAGATCTCACACAGACACACAGTTGGTAGGCTTTTTTTAAAGGATCACCCCCTGCAGGTTAACAAGTTTGCAAAAAGAGTTGCATCACTGAAGAGGACACACTCAAAAACACACTTGGACACGGGAACACAGGTGAATCAGTTCTGGAACTGAGGTTTGCTGGTGTCGTTATATAACTTACTCCACATGTCAATTATTGTCAGTTTCATGAAACATTTTCCGACAATGTCACAGCAAAGAAGAAGAAGATTAAAACAACAATTAATTCATATTTGTTTTTTCTTTTTCAAGTGCTAAAGTAGCTAAAGGCTAACGGTGAGAATTAGCACTTCTACATATAGTTATATACAGCTATAGATATTTAAGCTCAATAAAAATAATTTCTCCATTTTACATTGCACTAAAACAATATAGTAATTGTACAAAATAAATATAACAAACGTGGCGCTTTGGCCCAGAGGCAATGTCTCTGTCATTGGTGTGGAACCCCAGGGTTCACCTCCTGGGCAAGTTCGAATCCCGGTTAGGGCGGTTGGTACCTTCCAGTGGACTCACCACCCGCAGGAAGGTTTGGTACGGTGCAATGTGATTTGGGTGGCGACTGCTGCCCCCGCGACCTGGTAACGGATAAGCGGATGAAAATGGATGGATGGAAATATAACAAATATCATATATTTAATATATATGTTAAATCACACAGGAAGAAAACATTCATAACCAGATGATATAAAAACAGGGACACTTCTGCAGGTTTACTTACTGTGCATAGGCAGCTACATCTACAGATTAAACACAGCCACCTGTTTGAAATTTTTCAATTTACATTCAGTGAAACCTCAGTTCTTAATGTAGCTTCTTAATGTGGCTGTGAGAAGTTCTCTGTTCTCACAGCCACGAGCCACGTCTGCTGAGACGGCACAGTCTCTATAAGGAAATTACATCAGATTATCTAATCCTAAATTATGAATCCCAGAGCTGCTTCTCTCTTTGCTGAGCTGTAAAAGCAAAAACAGTCGTTCACTTGAATTTGACCAGTCATCAGTTTTTCTGACTGCTGCACTAGTCAGCCAACACTTCAACAAAGATTAAAAACCTGACTGTTCACTGTTCGCACATCAGGTGTTAGCTTTTCCTTCATCTGACTGCTGAGCCTCACCTCTGAGCCTGACCCTCGGAGAACTCCCAAACTCCCAAATCATCACTCTAAAAAATACAGTTTAACTCTGATTTTCCCAGTTCGGTCACATGGAGATGTGTTGAATCTGTCAATGTCAGAGCTGACACACTTCTCACAGGAAAAAAACAAATCCCAACAACCACAGCTAACATACACCTACACATATCATATAAACTGTTCTGTGTCTTAGCCAACCAGAAGGAAATTCAGTTGACGGGGATTTTTATCAGGAGTTTAAATTAAAACTGAGCCCTAGGAGAACCAGAGATGAAACCCATGACCTCTTCAACCCACTGAGGCACAGCCTGATGACTCTGATGTTTCTGAGGTCACGAGTCACTGAAGTTCTGACCCATTTCTAACACCTGAAAACTTACTATAAACTGGATCTCTCTCTCTCGCTCTGATTTTTTTCTAAGAACTTTACTTATTTATTTATTGTAACAGCATTTTATTTTTTTCTAAAGTTTCTAAACCCATATCTGTTATAATATAGTATAGTATAGTATAGTATAGTATAGTATAGTATAGTATAGTATAGTATAGTATAGTATAGTAATGAATAGGGAGGGGACGGGGTTCGTCGTTTGCCTGCAGGCGTCACGCCAAGGTCCTTATGTAAGAACTGGACTGCAGTGCCGGCGATTCCTCGGCTCAAAGGAGGATCAGGTCTGAACAATCTCCTCACTCACTTCAAGACTCTACTCTGAAGTCCAATTAAAACTAAACTAAACTTAAAAAATTGTCGACTGATGAGACTAAAATGTACAATATGTTTCTATTTCACTGAAGTGAATTAAAACCTTGTTCGGCACACAAACATACATACTATTTAGCCCTATATATATATATATTTATATTAAAGGGTCACCAGGGGAGGCTGCATGCTTGTCATGACACCTAAACGCTTGTCTATTTCGAGCATTTTTTTTAAATGACTGACAACATCATTTTAACAGATAAGAGAGAGACAGAATATATTTACGTTCTCCCATATTGCACACCTCACTTGCATGTATGTGGCCCAAAGGCTGGTGGTGCGTGAGGATGTGCACGTCCGTCATGAGAATAGGTTTTAATGAAGTTTGAATCTTCTGTGAATTTCCAGAATAGATTTCTAATTATCTGCGAGACATGGTAGGAAAAAAAGAAAAGCTCATCTACTGAAACAAAAACAATGTTAACAACACAAAACAGCGTTCAAGCTGAGTAACAAAATATAAATTTACAGCAGCGTTTACAAACAATGTATGAAAATTACCAACAGGTGGAGCTGTAAATGTTTAATTCAATCGAACACCTGTAAACTTCCTCCCCAAATTTTTTTACCACCCTTAGTGATATCCATCCAACCATCATCGTCCGCTTATCCGAGGCCGGGTCGCGGGGGCAACAGTCTGAGCAGGGACACCCAGACTTCCTCCAGCTCTTCTGGGGGGAACCCAAGGTGCTCCCAGGCCAGCCGAGCGACGTAGTCGCTCCAGCGTGTCCTAGGTCTTCCCCTAGGTCTCCTCCCAGAGGGACAGGACACGAGCATCTCCCGAGGGAGGCGTCCAGTAGGCATGCGATGTAAATGCCCAAGCCATCTCAGCTGACCGGGAACAGGTCCGACTTACTGCCGGCAATGCGAGCTCCTGCTCCGGTTGTACAGGGACCGGACAGCCCTTAGAAGAGGGCCCCCGACCCCATACTCTCGGAGCACCCCCGACAGAATACCACGAGGGACACGGTCGAAAGCCTTTTCCAAGTTCAAAAAACACATGTGGACCAGTTGGGCAAACTCCCATAAGCCCTAAAGCACCCTGTGGAGGGTATAGAGCTGGTCCAGTGTTCCACGACCAGGACGAAAACCTTAAAGTGAGATTTGTCAGTAGTGTGAAAAACGCCTCAATAAGGTTCATTGTTACATTGTTGTATTTCTACACATTTTTATCCTTAAACTAAACTGATACCGATATTACTGAAAAACAAAATGAGTGGGCAGCAAGTGGAAGATTCATAATGACACACAGCATCTGTCAGACCCCCCTTCACCACCTCACTCTACCTCACCGGGTCCGTGTCCTCAAACTAACCATCATCCATACCCCCCCCCCCACTGCCCAACATGTCTTTGTTCACTGTGTCAGATACATTTATACACACACATACAATATCGTCTGTCTCTTGGTGCAGCTGCATAGGATTGTGGGTAAACGGGATCAGCTGCTCTTTTTTCACACAATGTTTTGCTGAGAGAGGATTGGTCGACGGCGACAGAGAACAGAAGGGACCAATGGTTGTCTTCAAGTTCACTGACCACGTGCGCACACCTGGCCACATACAGATGTGCATGAGCATGTGCATCTACTTGCACCTGGAAAATATACATACTGCCACATAAGTAGATCGTTATCGTTTTAAAATAGGTGGAATTCCAAGAATATGGAGAAAATATGGTCATATTCCTCATTGTTATTGTCATTAGAGTCAGCTCTGTTTTTACTCACACACAAAGATGGTGGTTTGTTAGTTTGACTACATTTATATCACACACACACACACGCAGACATGCTTTAACCTTACTTAATCACAAGGATGAAAATCAGTTCGTATTTTTTTTAAATGATGACAATTTGAGCTGTTTCCAGCAGGGGGAAGCAGAAAGTATCACGGTTTCAGGACACTATTGCAGATGTTTTATGTGAAGATTGATTGTTAAGGTGATTTTTTTCATTCTTTTGGTGACTCTAGGATTTATTTGTTGTCCAAGGTCAGAGTCAAAATGATGAACGGAGGTTGGTTTTTACAGAAGCTCGTGTTTTTGTGTGAGGGGTTCACACGTGCACACACAGACAAACACACACATACATACACACACACACACACACACACACAGAAAAAACACATAATCTGGTTAAGTGAAGCTCAAACTGATTTAATTATATCTGACAAAACCCTTTCGGGCGTGAGAGGGCCAAAGATGGAGAAAAAAGGAGAGAGAGAAAGAGAGGGAAAGGGAAACAGAGAGAAAGGTAAGGAGAGAGAAAGAAAGAGAGAGAGAGAATGTTGTTATGCTATGAATGTTTTATCCATGTTTGGCTCAGTTTTTCAACTGAAATCATCTTAAACACTGATTAAAATGCCTGTGCACGAATGTGTGTGTGTGTGTTTGTGTGTGTGTGTTGCAACCCTTATTATGGACATTTCCTGTGCAAATGTGTGAGAAGGTGGAATAAATCAAAGTCAAAATAATTTAACTGAAGACAAATGTAAAACTTAATCAATTATTAGTGTTAAAAATAAGAATTAAAATAACATTAAAACTGGCAAAGAACCTGCATCATACTTGACTGGTGCCTGCAGACACTCATCAGCTCATATACAGTGCTTAGCATAAGTATTCACCCCCATGGATGTTTTACACTTTCATTGCTTTCATAAATCAATCATGGTGAATAAAATGTGACTTTTTTTCACACACAAATGTATTGGAAAAAACCCTTTAATATCAAAGTGAAAACAGAGTTCTATAAAGTAATGGTAATGAAACAGAATTATATAAAGAAAAATAATTGTTTGCATAATAATTCACCCCCTTTTAAATTTAATGGTCTAATTCAATAAAGGT